TCTGATCCCTCAGGTGTTGTGTGGGTCAGCCAGGGTTCCGCCCGGCGCCCGCGTGGTGGGCGCCCGTGGACGCCTCGTGGGCGCCTCCTGCGCTGCGTGGACCGCCCGAGGCTTCGCCCGGCGCACGCCCGTGGGACGCCTCGTGCGCTGCGTGGACCGCCCGAGGCTTCGCCCGGCGCCCGCCCGTGGGCGCCCCGTGCGCTGCGTGGGTCGGCCGAGGCGTCGCCGCGGTGCCCACCCGCGGGCGCTCCGTGGCTGCCTCGCGCGCTGGGCGGGTCGGCCGAGGCCTCGCCCGGCTGCCCGCCCGTGGGAGCCGCGTGGGCGCCACGTGCCCCGAGCGTGGGCGTGTCGAGGTTCCGCGCGGCCTGCAGAGCATGCGCTGCACCACACCACGCCTGCACCGCACAGCGTTTTTTGCCATACAGTTTGCACCACACAGCCTAGCTCATCCAGCTTGCACCACATGGCTCAGACTGCACGGCCCACGCTGCACAGCGCACACCACATAGGTTGCAGCGCATAGCTTACACCACATAGATTACGCCGCAGCGCTTGCACTGCATAGCTTATATCTGCACGGCATAGCTTACACAGCATACCTTGCACCACATATCATGCACAACATAGCTTACACCACGTAACTTGCACCACGCATATTGCACAATCTAGATTGCGCCACGTAGCTTGCACCGCAGATCCCACATTTCTACCGTGCAACCACGTGCTGTTTGGGCCGATGCTGGCAAACATATTGCTTCCGTATGTTTGTACAAGCTCAATCTTGACATGCTGAAGGCACACATTGGTGTTGCAATGAGTTCGACATGCGCTCACGGGAGGGGGGGGGGCGAGTGGTCTGCATGGTAGCATTTCGGAGGGATCATCACGACACGCCTTTCTTTGATCAAAGTGTCTGAATCGCACGACGTTGTTTGACAAGGATGACGGGGGGAGTCGATACGAGCCTGGTTCCGATGGTATGGACTAAAACGTGTAGGGTGAGCCATCGCGCAAAACAAGCATCATGACCATGACGCGGACGGGAAGCGCGGAGTCTCACCTCGGCATGGAAATCCTCCTTCGGAGCAAGAACCTGTGGTGACATCCACGCTGTGCAGTCTTGGCAGTTGGTGGTCCCAGGGAGTCCAAGGAGGCCCCCCACGGCCTCCGGAGCACACCTCAAAGGCCCAGAGGGCCCCAGAGGCCACAAGACTCGACGAGAAGCCGGGGGGGCGCCCTGGGCCAGGGGCACCCCTGGCGGCCCCCGACGCGAGGCGCCCACGGGCGCAGGCCTAGACCCGCCGGCCAACGCACAAGGCGCCCACGAGGCGCCCATTCGGGCGGCCACCGAACGAACATCCGGCACCGCCAGCTGGCGCACGAAACTCTTAAAGGAGCCCCAGGACACACAAACAAATACACACAAATAAAACTATTCCCCCATACTTTCCAATATTTTCTGCGTTTTTGTCTTCCCCCCACTTCCCATACTTTCCCATATTTTCCTGGGAATCGACGATTAATTGTGTCTGTGTGTTTTTTCCCCTCCTGAACTCTGGAGGCTCGGGAGTGAGCACACCAACACCCACGCAGGGGCTTGCCCCCACCAGGGGAAGATGGTCCTGTAGTCCGGTGTCGGCGGCAATCTTTCGGCCGCCAAGGAAGCCAGAACATCACCACCATCGCCGGGATCGGGATCTAATCTTCCCTCGGTGGAGGCACACCGCCGGTATTGGTGCTGGTGTCAACCTCTAGGCCCCCGAAAACTCAGAACGGCCAGCCGGCACACGAGGAGGAGGAGGCGGCGGAGGCGGAGGAGGCGGAAAAGGAGGAGGAGGAGGAGGAGGAGGAGGAGGAGGGGGAGGGGGAGGAGGAGGAGGAGGAGATGCCCCCACGAGGCGCCCTCGGGAGGCGAGCGGGCGCTACCCCAGAGCCGCCGGCCAGCGCCCACGAGGCGCCCACGAGGCGCGCGCGGGCGGCCATACGGCGAAGAGCAGGAAGCGCCAGCGCAGTACCCACGGAAGCCCCCAGGAGAAGTCCTGGGTGCAATTGCACCTTTTTCGGCGGTGGACAAACCTCCCTTTCGTACACCTCCCCTCAATGAGAACGGCCCAGGACCGAAACCGACGGATCTGGACCCGCAAGAATGACGGCCGCGACGCCCTCTCGCGAACCGAAAACGGCCGATTCCTTAATCGACGTGTCAGGGTAGGAGGTCTGTCCACCCCCGATCTTTAGGGGAAGATGCGACCGCGCCGAGGGCAAGATGAGCTGGGGAAGTGACACCCAACTAGGTCAGGTCGGGCCTGTCCCCCTACAGGCGGATTTTGGACGAAATATAAGACACAACCAAACAAATATCCAAACAGGATCCCAAAACTAATCAAAAAATCCCCCCCGATTATTTTTTAACCATCTTTGAATATTCTTCCTGTAGAGGGACACGCCCGACTTACAACTAGTATCAAGCCTCCTCTGGAGAGTTCGGAAATCGAGCAACGAGCGATTCCCCAGCAGCGTCGCTGGTGCCGACCCAGATGCCCAGAGGCAATCTCGTCGCACTGCGGGGCCTCTGCGGAAAAGGCTGATGGCCAGGCGGCAGCAATGACAGAAGTGGAGCCCAGAGAGGACAGCATAACGAGAACACTGACCCCGCTACGCCGAGAACTCGAAGGCGCGCAACATGTCCGGCCCGTCGGGCTCCCCTCCTCCGCCTCCCTCGGGGCCCGAACCTTGTCGACAAACGCAAAGGCGGTGGCCAGAACAAACTGTCCGACATCGGCGGCATCGGTGAGCCAGGTCGCCGTGTCGCTGGGAACAGCCTCGGCGACACCTGTCCCCGGCCTCCATTGATGAGGCACGCGGGTGCGTGGGCGGCTTAAGCTCGGCGGGCTGGAAAGCATCGGCACCGCACCGCCTCTGGTCCAGACGCTGGCCCCCGGACAGGCACTGCGAGCAGGACCAGTCTAGGCTTCACCGTGCCGACGCTGTCGCAGTCACCGCTGAGGCTGCCGTGACGAAGCGAACAGAGCAGGAGCAGTGGCATGACATGGTCAGGTAACCACACGTGAGAAAACGTGCTTCGTGGACGCTTGCTTGTCGAAACGCCCCCCCCCCTCCCCCCCTCCTGTCCAAGAGTGGGGGGATCTAACCGGGGAGCCCCCGCCCCTCGTAGAATCCTACGAGTGCTCGATCAAGCTCGGATAGCATCAAGCAGACTATAAATGGATTCACCGCTGATGCGTCGCAACCTAGTGGGGCTCGATCCAACTCTCACCGCATCCTACTAGCGCTGGATCCAGCCTGAACTGAATCCTGCTTGGGCTCGTTCCAGCACTCGTACAATCCTAGTATAGCCCGATCCAACTGCAATCGCAGCCTAATCGAGCTGGATCCAATTCTCGTAGACTCCCACAATAGCGCGATCCAGCTCAAATTGGACCCGACCAGGGCTGGATCTATCTCTGTCAGACTTCCATTGCAGCTATACCAACCTCAAAATTGAGTCCTAGTAGGGCTCGATCCAGATGTGATAGAATCTGACTCGGGCTCGATCCAGCCTTACTAGCATCCTAATAGGGCTCGATCGTCATCGTCGTCGTCGTCATCGCTGCCCGACGGCGCTGGAGCCAGCGTCCGCCGTCGTCAGTTGCCACTGGGGAGGAAGGCCACACACACCCTGGTCCGACCCCCCCCCTTTCAATGAATTCGATAATTCAGAGGGAGGGGGGGGAGCCCAGGATCGAACCAGCCCTGGGGGGGGGGGCCCTGCTTCGAACCCCCCACCCCTGCAATTCAGAGGGGCGGGGGGGGGCTCCCCTGGTTCGAAGCCGCCCCCCCCTAGCCAGGCGCCCACGGAACGCGCTCTCTCCCACACGCCAGCCCTGCCCCTGCAGATCAGCTTCCGGACAACACCCTGCAGAATGCGAAGCACGTCTGTAGCCAGCGACCCCCAGCGGGGGTGCCCGATACCCCAGCGTCGATTGGACCCGCAGGGGGCGGGTCCCGAAATCGTCGCAGCATGGTCTTCGAGCGAGCGAGCGCGCGCCGTCGGTCCGAAGGACCGGCCCTACGAGGGCAGCGCGGGCGGGTCAGGGCTGGGAAAGGAAGGGGTCGTGTTCGATGCAGCTCCCATCCTACTCGAGGACCACATCCCAGAAATAATGTCGAGCACCCAGAAAAGTATCAGAACAGTATCGAACGCGTATCGCCTCCCAGGGCCCGACGCGCGAAAGCCCTCCAATTTCGGTACTTTTTCTGGTGCTCGGAATTCTTTCTGGTGGTCAAGACTAGAGTAGGTTGGAACATCACAGGTCATGCTCCGACATTTGCCAACTTCACCCGAAACTGCACCGTTGGGAGCGAGAACCGCAGAGACAGGAGCCAGTGCCGAAGGGACTCGGACTTGGAAGTGGGCGCTGGAGTCGGAGAGATGGGCGCCGGAGTCTGAGTATCGTTTATCCGACTCCCATCCCCAACGGCGTGGCCTGGGCCCCACTGGCGGATTTATCCCCTAGATGGGGATGTAAGCCGTTCCCCTCCGGGCTTCGAGGGGTGCATCCCCGACTGTGGTGGCAATTTCGGCGGGGGCCTCGAAGGCGATGGAGGATGGGGATGGGGAGTGGTGATAGACGATACTGCGGAGTCGGCGGCCGTCGGCGACCGCTCAGGGCTCAGGCAGGAATGCCCCAGCGAGCCCAGAATTGAGCAGGGACCGACCGTCCCGGCATTCCTATAGTCCTACCACGAAATGTCCCTAGAACCCAAACGTGTTCCCAGAACAAAAAAATCCTAGAATATAAACCCGATGTGATAAAACAAGACAGACTCCGCCAGAAATGTTCTAAGAACAGTTCGTGGAAACCACTCAAGGTTATTACAACATTGTTTGGCAGGGCTATTGGCGAGCCAAGACGCTTCGCCACTGCATAACAGACGGTGAGACTCTCGCTCGGCCGCCGCGGGGGCCGCGCGCCGCGCGCCGCGCTGCCGCACATATCTCACCTGCAGGGGGGGCGGGGGGGCGCGGCCTGGAAGGCGGCATGCGGTCGAAATAATGAAACGAGGAAGAGGAGGAGGAGGCGGAGGAGGAGGAGGAGGAGGAGGAAGCGGAGGAGGAGGAGGTGAAGGAGGAGGAGGAGGAGGAGGAGGAGGGAGGAGGAGGAGCAGGAGGAGCAGGAGGAGGAGGAGGAGGAGGAGGAGGGAGGAGAGTTTTGGGAAGGGGAGGAGGGGGGGGGGGCCCGCCGCCTCTCCCGCGCCGACTCGTGCCCGAGGCGCCCCCGCGGCGCCTGCCTGCCCCGCCCTGCGCGGCGCGCTCACGGGGCCTCCTCGATCGCTCGCCTCGCCTCCGAAGTCCGCCGCCTCCCGCCCCTGGTCACAGTGAAGTCTGGGCACGTCCCTCCACAGGGGGAATATTCAAAAGAGTAAAGAATAGTCTGGGGAGTGAGTTTCGAATGTTTGTGGACCGATTTTGAACACTCGTCCCAAATCCCCCTGTAGGGGTACAGGCCCGACCTACGGCTACAGTCGGGGCGTTGACCTACGGAACCCTTCAAAAAAGGAACGATGCCCCCTGTTTATCCATAAGTTTAAACCTCGATTCCCCATGGAAGACCCAAGGAAGACCCAAGGCAGGCTGTGGCACAATTGAGGAACACGGAGCCCCTCCCCAGCGGAAAGGGTTCTTTCTGCAGCGCCCCGACTGTACCCTGGCTGCGGTTCAATGGCCGCGGCACGAAGGCACCCCGTGACGCTGAGCATCCCGGGGTCCTTCTGCAGGAGTGCGGGGCGCACCCCAGGCTTTGGGGGGGGGAGGCGCGGGCGAGGTCCGCAGACAAGCGACAAGCCCAGGGGAACGGAGGAGAAGGATGGCAACGGCGGGGAGGATGGCGAGGAGAAGCAGGAGGAATAGGTGCACGAAGAGAAGGAGGGCGCGTTCCAGAAAAAGAGAAAGGAGGAACAACTATGATCCCTGCCGGTCGTGGGGCCTGACCCCTGCCCGTCCCGCCCATCCTGCCTCTCACGACCACGCCGTCCATTTGACATCGTAAAAAAAAGCTCGACGCCGTGAACAGATCGGGGCTGGATCTGCCGACTCGGTCTTCACTCCCCACAGCATTTGATGTAAAAGAAAATAATTCTACCTTAGCTTCTGGCATGCGCGCAGGGATGAGAACGTGAAAGTCGGGGTTGTTGTTCTGGGTTCTTAAACGGAGACTTCGATCAACCAGGATATTGGCGCGCCCAAGAAAATTGCAGCAATGGGTCGAACACTCTTCGTTCCTGGCTCTCTCCGGCTGATAGATTCGGAGCTCTGGCGTGCAATGTCCTCGCTTTTGGGTCCTGAGCAGCTTGGGTTTCTCCAGGAGCCAGCTGTGGGGTGCCGCTGATCTGCATGGAGGCCATAGGTTGCGCCCACTGGTTCAGCCCGTGGGCTGCGCCGATGCGCCACGGCTGCGGCCGCTGGTTGCGGCCAAGGTGCCGCCGATTCATCGGCGCCGCACGCGGCGCCCATGGGTTACACCCTGGGCTGTGCCAGGGGTGCCGCTAATGTTTCGGCGCCTCTGGTTGCGCCCATGGGCTTCGCCAGGTCTTTTCTACATTGCGTTGACAATTGCGCTGCTCTGCATCGGATTGCTTCGCGCTGTCTGGAAATGCATCGCGCTGCGTTGCATGGCGTTGCATCGACTTGCCTTGATCTGCTCTGGCTGAAAGTGTTTTGCGCTGCCTTGCGTTGCTTTTCATTGCGCCGCAACGATTCGGAAATCACACTGGAATCGCATGCACCCCAGATCGATCCGCGAGGCACCCGTGGCCCTGGTCGGGACAGAAAAGCCGGCTGCGTACCTTTCCCGAACGAGTGCCAGGAGGAGGAGGAGGAGGAGGAGGAGGAGGAGGAGGAGGAGGAGGAGGAGGAGGAGGAGGAGGAGGAGGAGGAGGAGGAGGAGAGAGGAAGAGGAGGAGGAGGAGGAGTAGGAGGAGTAGGAGGAGGAGGAGGAGGAGAAGGAGGAGGAGGAGGGCGAGGGGGAGGAGGAGGGGGAGGGGGAGAGGGAGACGTGCCCAGGGCCGCGGAAGGCGCCCTGGGGTGCCCCGAAGGCGCCTTCAAACACAAATCTCCATTCCGCCTGGTCCGCCCGAGCCCAGGGCCGTGGCGAAGGTGCCTTCGGGCGCCTGGAAAAGGCACTTGGAGGGTACCTGCGGGCAGCCCAGGAAAGGCACTTGGGAGGTGCCAGCGGGCCGCCCAAGCAAGGCATTATGGAGGTGCCTGCGGGCAGCCCAAGAAACGCACTTGGGGGGTGCCCGCGGGGAGCGCGGGGAAGGCAGTTAGGAGGAGCTTGCGGGCCGCCCTGGGTGCCCCCAGGGCCAAAATCTTAAACAGAAAAATGAAATGTTCGCCCGTGCCCGGACATTGGGCGACATTGCTGCTCGGTCGCGGCCATGGGCCCCGGGAACCTTCCGACCCAGCTCGGCTCGGAGGACGGCTGTTCTGGCATGAGTGTCCAGTAGCTATCCAACAAACTCGTTGGGATAAAATCAAGGAGACCGCGGTGACGCTGCTTAGCCTTGCTAAGCTGCTTCGGCCACACGCTCGCCGTCACCCTATTAAGGTAGATACGACGGTGGGGCTTCACATACTGGCCGCACCGATCTCCAAGACCACGCAATTCCTGATCTCCGAAGCATCCGCACGACATACAAAACCAGACACCGCCTTGGCGAAAAAGGGTCCAGAGGGCAACGGCTCCTGGACCTCGAGGGGGCTTTCCCCGAGACAGGGCGCTCCTCTGGAACGCAATCCTCGGACGGCTCCGAGGCCAGGGGAGAGCCCCCTAGGAGCCCGCACACCGCGAGCAACCTCCGGGCCCGTACCCTTTGGGACCCAAATCGCCTCAGGGCGAGCTTCTCGTCCCGAGTCGGACTGCTGCCCCCAGCAGGCCGGCCACAGTCAACCCGCATACGAAGGGCGCTCGATGAGGATGCGAGGGCCGTGGGAGGCCATGCCAGCACTTTGCGAGCGGGGGGGGGGGGGCCAACGAAAGTGGCCAAGCATGGGCAGAGGATGCAACGATGCAAGAGTACCCTTGGGAAGGTTGCCCATCCTTACGATGCGGGTTGACTGTGCTGCGAAAGCCCTCCGACGTGCTCCACGACGTTGGGGCCTGGGCCCTGCCGCCCCTTCCCCCTGCCCCCAGCCCCCTCCTTTCATACGTTGGCCAGACATTGCTCTAGGTGTGATCGCTGCGTTTCACATCCTCCTCTTTCCCTCCTCCTCCTCCTCCTCCTCCTCCTCCTCCTCCCTCCCTCCCTCCCCTCCCTCCCTCCCTCCCTCCCTCCCTCCCTCCCTCCCTCCCTCCCTCCCTCCCTCCCTCCCTCCCTCCCTCCCTCCCTCCCTCCCTCCCCCTCCTCTCCTCCTCCTCCTCCTCCTCCCTCCCTCCCTCCCTCCCCTCCCTCCCTCCCTCCCTCCCCCTCCCTTCCCTCCCTCCTCCTCCTCCTCCCTCCTCCTCCCTCCCTCCCTCCCTCCCCCTCCCTCCCTCCCTCCCTCCCTCCCCTCCCTCCCTCCCTCCCTCCCTCCTCCCTCCCTCCCTCCCTCCCTCCCTCCCTCCCTCCCTCCTCCTCCCTCCCTCCTCCTCCTCCTCCTCCTCCTCCTCCTCCTCCTCCTCCTCCTCCTCCTCCTCCTCCTCCTCCTCCTCCTCCTCCTTCCTCCTCCTCCTCCTCCTCCTCCTCCTCCCTCCTCCTCCTCCTCCTCCTCCTCCTCCTCCTCCTTCCTCCTCCTCCTCCTCCTCCTCCTCCTCCTCTCCTCCATCCTCCTTTTGGCTCCTCTTCTTCTTCTTCCTCCTCCTCCTCTTCATCCTCCTCCTCCCCCGCCCCTCTTCCCCCTTCCCGCCTCCTCTTCCGCACGGGGGCACCCGAGTGCGTCAGGGCGGCGCCCAGGCACGGGGGTCTGTGATCCGAAGCTCCACCTCGGGCACCGCCTGGGCCCTCCCTCCCTCCCTCCGTCCCCTCCCTCCCGCCCTCCCTCCCGTTCCCCCCTCCCTCCCTCCTCCCCTCCCCCACCGCCTCCCTCCCTCCCCTCTCCCCCTCCCCCCCGCCCCCAGCACGCGGCGTGGGCACCAAGCAGCGCGCCCGTGCGCGAAGCTGGCTGGGTGCCAGTGCGCGGGGCTGCTGGACGCTGCGGCTCCTCGGGGGAGGGGGGGGGGGGGGCGAGCGGGCGACGGCGAGAAGGAGGAGACTAACCTCCTCCTCCTCCTCCTCCTCCTCCTCCTCCTCCTCCTCCTCCTCCTCCTCCTCCTCCTCCTCCTCCTCCTCCTCCTCCTCCTCCTCCTCCTCCTCCTCCTCCTCCTCCTCCCCCTCCTCCTCCTCCTCCTCCTCCTCCTCCTCCTCCTGGCATCGTTGGCCCGCGCCTGCCTCGGAGACCGAGGCGCTGCCGCCCGCCGCCAAGGGTCGAGATCCCAGAATCTGTCGCGGGAGGCTCTCGCCCGAGGCTCGCGCCGCGGTCGGCCTCCTCGAAGCCAAAAGCGCCGGTCAAGCAAGGTCGGGCCCCGAGGCGGGGGTAGGGGGGCCCCGACGAAGCCCTGGCCCACTACACCTCGTGCCAACGCGGAGGAGAATGTGGTTATAGGAGTAGAGTGGCACTTGAGCCACTTGAGCAAAACACCTCTGACATCGGGGGCTGGGGGGTGAGATCGCAGTGGAACGGAGACCCCCAACCGGGAAATCATTTCGTCTCATGTCGTGCGTGCGGGCGAGGCGAAGCTGCGTGGGCGCGCGAGAGGAATTAACCCGCCGTTGCTACTAGGGCGAAGCCAAGACAAATGATTCTCCCCCGTCCGTCCGTCCAGCGGTGGCCTTAGCGGTGTCTCGTGATGTCCCGTGGTGTCCGCCGTTGCTCGGGCGAAGTCAAGACAAACGATTCTCCCCCGTCCGTCCGTTCGTCTGGCGGTGGCCCGCGGTGTCCCGCGGTGTCCCGTGGTGTCCCGTGGTGTCCCATGGTGTCCGCCGTTGCCAGGGTGAAATCAAGACAAATGATTCTCCCCCTCCCGCCCGTCCGGCGGTGGCCTGCGGTGTCCCGCGGTGTCCCGTGGTGTTCCGTGGTGTCTCGTGGTGTCCGCCGTTGCTAAGGCGAAGTCAAGACAAATGATTCTCCCCCTCCCGCCCGTCCGGCGGCGGCTCACGGTGTCCCGCGGTATCCCGTGGTGTCCCGTGGTGTCCCGTTGAGTGAGATCATTCGTGAGATCGATAGTGAGATCGGTACTGATATCGATAGTGATATCGATACTGAGATCGATGTGGTGCCCCGAGGTGTCCCGTGGTGTCCCAAACAGTGAGATCGATAGTGAGATCGATAGTGAGATCGACAGGTGTCCCGTGGTGTCCTGTGGTGTCCCATTGAGTGAGACCGATAGTGATATCGATACTGAGATCGGTGTGGTGCCCCGCGGTGTCCCGTGGTGTCCCGTTGAGTGAGATCGATAATGAGATCGATAGTGAGATCGACAGGTGCCCCGTGGTGGCCGTTGGTGTCCCGTTGAGTGAGATCGATCGTGAGATCGATATGGTGTGCCGAGGTGTCCCGTGGTGGCCTATGGTGTCCCGTTGAGTGAGACCGATAGTGAAATCGATAGTGAGATCGATCGTGAGATAGATATGGTGTGCCGAGGTGTCCCGTGGTGTCCTATGGTGTCCAGTTGAGTGAGATCGATTGGGAGACCGATCGTGAGATCGAGAGGTGTCCCGCGGTGTCCCGTAGTGTCCCGTAGTGTCCAGTGGTGGCCCGTGGTGTCCCGTTGAGTGAGATCGATAGTGAGATCGATAGTGAGATCGACAAGTGTCCCGCGGTGTCCAGTTGAGTGAGATCGATAGTGAGATCGATTGAGTCAGATGCTGGTTTCCCCACCTCTCCATCCCCCCCGAACCTCCTCATCACCCGAAGGGTGGTCGTATAGGTAGAATAGGCCTCGGCTCGCCGTTGATGGCGGCCGAGTTCATCTAACGTACACACATGTACACTAGAACCATCGCGCGCGCTTCGCGCGCGCTCAGGTTCTAGCCCAGGCCGGGGGCGCGCTAGAAGATCTTGGACAGCGCTATCAAGCACAGGCGCGTGACATAGTCGTGCCTCCTGAGGGCCTCTTGGGAACCCCTTGGGTCTTCGTGGGGGCATCTGAAAGGCTTCTGGGGGGTTCTCTGTGCTTCCTCTCCATTGGCTGTTGGAGCCCGGCGGCCCCGGCGGCGTCCCAGGAACGGTCTCAGGTTTTTGGACCAGAGGCCGCATGTAGACGTACATGAAGGTTTCTGGGGAAGCCTCTCAGAAGCCCGTTGGGGCCCTCTTGGGGGTCTCCTGGGGGCTTCCTGGGAACCTTGGGGGGGGGCCTCTTGGAAGCCTCTTGGGGGGGCCTCTGGAGGCCCTTGGGGGCCTGCCGCGGGCGTCTTGGGGGCCTCTTTGGGCCTCTTGGGACTCTCTTAGGGGCCTCTTGGGAGCCTCCTGGGGCGGGGGGGCTGGAAGGTTCAGTTGGGTGTCCCGTCTTGGGCCCCTCTTGGGGCCCTTCGGGGACGCGTTTTGGCCGTCCTGGGCGCCTCTTGGACTGTCTGGGGCCCCTCTGGGGCCGTCTTGGGGCTCTCTTGTGGGTTTCGTGGGCCGTCTTGGGGCGGTCTATGGAGAGTCGGAGGTCGTAAAGGACGGTACGAAGGCCAACAAATCGAATATGATAAAAACGTACGTTTTACGAAGGGAAGGGGGTTATTTTTGCTTCCCGGAGCCGTCTGGGGGGATCTCTTGGAGGGGTCTTCGAGCGTCTTGGAGGCGTCTGGGGCGGTCTGGGGCGGTTCGAGACGCAGTGGAACGGAGACCCCAAACCGGGGAAATCGTTTCGTTTCGTTCGTGTCGTGCGTGCGGGCGAGGCGAAGCTGCGTGGGCGCGCGAGAGGAATGACCCCGCCGCTGCTAAGGCGAAGTCAAGACAAATGAATCTCCCCCGTCTGTCCGTCCGTCCGTCTGGCGGTGGCCCTGGCCGTGTCCCGCGGTGTCCCGTGGTGTCCCGTGGTGTCGGCCGTTGCTCGGGCGAAGTCAAGACAAATGATTCTCCCCCGTCCGTCCGTCCGTCCGGCGGTCGCCGGCGCATTTGCATCGGCCTTGAAGTGGCGCGGGCCTTCGCCGACGCGACGGGGGCTTCGGAGCTCGCAGACGCGGGTCCACCCCTAACTTGGACAGCGGAGTGCGGCGCGTCCTTATCAATAGAGTTGTCAACCTGATGGGGTGCCTTGTGCCTTGGGGGCGCTGTTCGTTGCCTAGCACGCGGCGGGAGGGCGGGGCCGGCTGCGCTGGCGCCCAGGTGGCGCAGCGGCCTTTCCCGCTGGAGGCGTGCGGATCAGCGCCCCCCGCCGTTCCCACTTCGAGCCTGGTGAAGGCAGGTAGCCGCGCGCGCGCCTTTGCCCTCGGCAACCCTCGCAACGTGCCCGCGCGCAATGCGCGACTGGAGAGACTCACATGTATGCCCACTAGAACCACGAGTTTGCGCCTGCGTGGTCGCGGGGCGCCTCGTGACGAGCGTCGCGCCCGAATGCGACGTTCTGAACTGTGCGTCGTTATCCCGTCGTTCAACAAGGCTACTGAAGCCAGCGTTCTCGGCTTTTGCCTTCGGCATTTGGAAGGTCCTGTGGGATTCGGACCATTTGCAACGCTGTCCTCGCCAGGTACAATGTTCACCCTCATCGGGCTGGGAGGAGCCTGGCGCCTGCTCCTCGACGGCTCCGACAACCTGGGATGCATCTGGAACGCGCCCCTCATTGTCGAGGCGAGCCGGAACAAAGCAACGCGGACAGAGGGCGTTGAACCCACCCCCTCAGATGTCACTCGGCAGACGGAACTTGCTCGTTGGACATGAGGTGCCGATCCGTTGTTCGACGAGCTCCGCCTCGACGGCATTGGCCGCGTTCGCCAGCTTTCCAAGACCAGCGGGGGCAGATCCGCCCCGTCTTCGGGCATTGCGTAGCCTTGGTTTCATAATCGCACAGGGTGAGGTCGCAGCGCCATTCGCCACCGCCAAATTTCCCCTTCTCCCCAGGACGCGTGCTTCCTTGGGGTTCGCAGATGTTGCGCGCGACGCTTCTGGAACGTGGTCTGTTCGTTTTGGCAGCGCCCTGATCGCGCGCATCTCCAACGAAGAACAGTTGCATATCTCCCAGCGAGATATCGGGAGCGTCGGCCGTCGTCGACGCAGCGTCAGCACCGGCCTTCGCCGACGCGACGCCCCCATCGTCATCGGAGTGTTTGTCGCCGCGATCAGTGCACTGATCTGCGTCCTTTCTGACGGCGTCGGCGTTAGCAACTTGCTTCTCAGAGGCAGTCGGGTAGACGCATCCGATCGTGGACTCGCCCCCCCCCCCCCCTGCCTGAATAACACATCCAAACTCATCTACAACGCGTCGCATAACCCGCGCGGCCCCAGACTCATTAACAGGGTCCGCGGGGATAGGAGTAGTCGGATCGATGAGAGCCCCTGTCTCGGCAGACTGGAACAAGTCCTTGACGGCTTCTTGGGCCTCGGGACTTTCAACCTCGATCTGAGGGGCCGACCGCTTCTCCCCACCGATATCGGGAAACGCAGGCGGCGGTCGGATCCCCCTCTCATCTAGAGCGTTCTCCACCATGACATTCATGCGCATCCGATGCATATTTTGGTGGTAGCTGTAACCTGAGACGACTGGAGGTAGTTGCTCATGGCAACGTACGTTCCATACTGTATGGGCACTTGCCCGCCCGATTCGTAACATACGTCCTCGGATCCCACAATGCAGCGCCAAAGCCTGCAGAAGGGTCCCAGACTTGCTCTTCTTGCTGCAATGTGCTAAGGTAGTCCAGTTCGCTAGCATGCGGATTGGATAGCATAACCCTATCTTCGCTTCCTGGGCGCAGGCGCGCGTGGAATCCTTGAGTTTCAGACAACATCCTGTCACTCTGCGTCCTGCCGTCTGGGCTTACGTGGAGGTTGCTTCTCCATGCCTGATGCTGTCGCTCACTGAGCACCCAGCCTCAGAGACGACAGAGCGATACCTCAGGCAAAAAGGCTGCATCCTTATCGGGTCGCCTCGTGACCCTCCGAACTGCAGACTGTCGTGGGCCGGCCGTGGGGCACGGCTCCGTAGGCGGCGGCCTGTACCATCGAGGCCCTCCTCTTCCGCA